TCACTCAGCCAGTTTCCATGCCTGAGGCGGGACTAGAACTCACCGTCTCCTGGCGATTTGGCCCAAAGTCACCCAGGCGGCTTTCATGGCTAAGGCGGGACTAGAACTCACTGTCTCCTACTGGTTTAGGAAAAGGACAGTGTCTATTCTGGAATAACATGGTCAAATGCTGCAGAGTTTTCTCAACGGAGAAGCAGCATAAGCCTCCTTCTAAATGGTTATATTTTTTTCTCTCCTCTTCCTCTTTCTTCCACAGTGTCCTCCTCTTCGCACCGATACGAACCCTCCAGAGATGCGATCGAGGTGATCAGCCCCGCCAACTCACCTGTCCCCTCTCAGGAAAAGATGCCACCTTACCACCAGGAGCCCCCCAAAATGAACCCAGGAGAAAGTAAGTTTTTTCTAGGACGGAGGATGTGGCTTTTGGCTTGCAAAATTGGGCTGCCCAGATTTGGAACATAGACTCTTAGGGCTGGGAGGGACCTCAGAGGTCTTCTAGTCCAACCCCTGCTCAAGACAGGAGAACTTATACCATCCTGGTCAAATGGTGGTCTAGGCTAAGATTGAGACCAGCCTAGTTCCAAGAACTTTCCTCTAGCTCAGTGGTGGCGAACCTATGGCACGTGTGCCAGAGGCGGCACGCGGAGCCCTCTCTGTAGGCACGCACCATCACCCCAGCACACATGGTCTCTAAAGTTCACCATCACTGGCCTAAGGCCGGCCAGCCTGGAGCCGCCATTGGGGAGCCCACCATCCCAACCGCCAGAGATCCCCTGCATCTCCCCCAACCCTGCCCGGCTCCCACAGGTGTCCCTCCCCATAAGCAACATCAAGGTGGCCACGCCCACCCCGGCCATGCCCACCCAATCTGCCATGACTACTGCACCCACACCCCTCCAGTGGCCACGCCCACCCAGTCTGCCCAGCCCACTGTAGCTGCACCCGCCGAGTGGGCCACACCCACCCGGCACCCGGCGATACATAAGTGGGTTTTGGGTTGCAGTTTGGGCACTCGGTCTCTAAAAGGTTTGCCATCACTGGACTAGCTGCTTCCCTCTTCGGGGTGATGACCAGCCCGGAGAACGGCAACCTCTGTGGTTAATCCTCAACTTACAGTTGTTTGTTTAGCAATTGTTTAAAGCTGCAACAGCACTGAAAACCACGACTTACAACCAGTTCTCATAGTTACGACCGTTGCAGCCTCCCCACGCTCATGTAATCAGATTTACGCACTTTGGCAATCTGAATGTCCCAATGATCATGTGATCCCCATGCCTGACCTTCCTAGGCGAAGTCAGTGTGAGTGTCAACATCCAGCTCGGAAATCCAAATAAAACTCCAGGCACATTCCGTTTCTGAAAAAAATCTTTCGGTTTATTGAATACACGGCATGGTAACGTCGAAGCAAAACTGACTCTGAGATTCCCAGATACCAGTGCCTAGAATTAAACAATAAACTCTCCAGCCAGCCCCCCCCCCTCTCAGTAGTCCATGTAAACAATTTCACTTTGTTATGGGAACCGGCTGCTTCCTCTCCACACCTGCTGCGGTGTCCTTGGAAAGGTTTCAGGGTCCTCAGTGGAATCATGAGAGGTTTTGTTTTTCCATCTAACCCATTCTGAAGCATCACCTCCCCCCCCTCCTTACTCTAATGGCAAGTGGAAATGAAGAGGCAAGTAGCTTCCACAGTTTCATTTTGAGAGGGAGAGAGAGGGAATTAGATAGATAGAATTAGGTAGGTAGGTAGATAGATGATAGGTAGGTAGGTAGATAGGTAGATAGGTAGATAGATAGATTAGATAGATAGATAGATAGATAGATAGATAGATAGATAGATAGATAGATAGATAGATAGATAGATAGATAGATAGATAGATAGAT